TTTTTTCAAATATAGTTTCTTACTTTTCTATTTCAGTTCTTTGCCACTTTTACTCTCATATTTAACGTACGTTCCATAAAAGGACATAACGTTTTGTCTTTTTAAGCTCTAGCGGTTGCGAGACTACAGTTGTTTAACGGAATTTTTCAGACAAGATATTAGTTTTTTTAGTTTATTATGCAAATTGTTTTTAGATGGCAGTTGTCAACGTCTATACGACATCTGCAACTACAGAAAATTTGTCTCGACATGAGATGTTGATGTGGGTTAATGACTGCCTCCAGTCCAACTTTACTCGTATCGAGGACATGCATACTGGCGCAGCGTACTGTCAGGTATAAAATTGTGTTTTTATCAGTTTCAAGCTTATAAACTTGTGACGCAACTTGTTTTTAAATTCTTAACGGTGCTGTAATGGCATATTGTTAATTGGATTATTTTGCTGAGACTTAGATGGGACTGAAGCGTTTCATTGGGGGAAGAGAGGTTCATAATTAATTCAGTAATACTAATTTTTGTGGAAATGCGTTTTTTCCAAATGACTTACTTAGGTGCTAGTTTCGTTTTTTTATTGCCTTTTTTTTCCTCATTGTAACTGTTGTCTTAATTTGATTTGTAGTGGTGCGATAAAATACGAGTTTTTTTAAAAATTTTAGCGTTTGTTAACCTGCCAGATAAAATCGTAAGCAGTTTGCCGTTTAACTTTCACTTTCTTCGTTGGCATTTTTTTCATGAAATTTTGGTTCTTTAGTTTACTGATTTCCTTTTCCCTGGATCAATTCAACTGCGTCGGGTAAAATGGAACAGCAAGTTAGAACTTGATTGGCTGGATAACTGGAAATTATTGCAAACTGCATGGAAATCTTTAGGAGTTGAAAAAATTGTCCCAGTTGAGAAATTAATTAAAGGAAAGTTCCAAGTTAGTAGATTATCTGATCTGCTTTTCTTTTAAATTGTCTTTTTTCACCTGCAGTACATCTTTTAGTGGCAATTCGTTTTAGTATCCAATTACTCCTCTTTTAGGACAACTTTGAATTCCTGCAGTGGTTTAAAAAATTTTTCGATGCTAACTATGACGATCATGAATATAATCCATTAGATGCTCGAGGAGGCGTGCCTTTGCCGTCAAACCAAACCCAGAATACACGTGTACCAACGCGGTTGTCGACAAAAACTACGTCGGTTACAAAGTCAGTATATTAGAAGCTCCCTTCTCTTTTTTCTTTTAATTGAAGTTGTTGTGTAAATTTTTCCAGGGTGTTTAACTGGTTGATTTACTTTAGTTTCATTGTTGGAATCATTTTATTTTTCCGCCTTTTTTCTTCCGCTTCATTCTTAGATGATACCTACGGCCTTGGTAATATTTTGTTGTCAGCCGCAGCTTTATTTTTACATTTGAATACTCATTATCTCGAAAGAAATTTTTTTTGGTTTTTCACAAGTTTACTTATAAGCAGTTGTAACAAGCGTAGTTCCCGACACTGTTTTTTAGGTTTTTGTGTTAAATCGATGCTTGTTTCATTAAGTTGCTTAATTAGCCAAAGATATCTCTTCAGACCACCTGTTGCTAGTGCCCCTCGGACTGCTTCTAATGGTTCTGTTGGGAAAACCGAGACTAGACGGGCAGTAACAAGTGGTCATGCAGGCACCCAACGACCTGCAACAGCACGAACAATGACAGCTACCGCAACGGCTCCTCGTGCTGCTGCTCCTGCCGGTTCTCAAGTTGATGCCAAAGTTAGTTTTTTTTGTTGACTGTTGGTTTCTTTCGTGCCAGTATTTTTTGTCTTGTGTAAAGGAAAGTAGTATATTATAGCATATTGCTAATCTAAAGAAGGAATTGGAAGAAGCGCGTCATCAGTTAGCTGAAACGGACATTGTTATTGCTAGTCTTGAAAAGGTTCCTTTGTTTATAGCCTATTTCAATTTATCAGTTTTCACTTAATTTTTTTTCTAGCATGTTTTGGTTCCTCATGACCTAGTT